ATATTATATTATATTAGTAACAAAGTATATTTATTATTTTTTACCTTTCATACCTGGGCAGCTGTAGTGTAGTGGCAGAGCAGCTGGCTTGAGACCCAAAAGTCACAGGATCAACTCCCCACCATGTCCACATGTTGTGGTTCTCCTTGAGCAAGACACCCAACCTCCAACTGCCCCCTAGGTGCTTACATAGCTGCCCGCTGGTCCACTTTGGTGTTTCTCACGTGTGATGGGTCAAATGCAGAACACAATTTTCATCATTGAATGGGAATATGCTTTGATGACCGATAAAGTACCTTTAATAATAAATGTTTACCAGTCGACAATTTTAAAATGTTCACTGCATACCAAGTGACACTTTAGGATTAAACTTGTCTTTACTGATATTAGCTACCATCTTCTCAACAGGTCAGGTTGGTCTAATAGAATCTTTTAAAATAGCATGATTCAGCAAAGTGCTTTGTTCTGTATAGCAATATGCACACTACTACAGACGATAATATCTGCTAACCAATTCATGAATTAACAGTAATTACATCAGCTTTATAAGTTTGTTTTATTTTAAACTGTTACATTATTAGCTTCAGTTCTGGTCAGATCACATCCACATTGAGGTAAATAAAATCTGTTTACTTGTGAAATGAGAAACATTTTCTTCTGATGGTACATCCATAACACGCAACTTTCTGGCATTTTTATAAACACTTTAATAAATTATTAATATCTTTATTAACGTTATCATTAATGGTTTTGCTAATTGTTACCCTGTTGTTGCCCTAAGCTATTGTTTTCTATTTTACCAATATGTACAATAATGATAAATACAGACTTCTGCCTGTTGCAAATGGAAATGAATGGATAGGTAAAGTGTGTCATCTGAGTGGGATTAAAATACAAGTTTTCTCAGTCTATGAAAAGTTATACCGGCATTATTGTAAATTGACAAAGAGGGCACAGCCCTGCCTGCTGCTGAGTAGTAACTTTTTCATTAAGTGATCAGCCTTGTAGGAATTTAATTACATTTCAAACAATACTGGGTAGTGGGAACTTCTGAAAGTAGATATCTTGGTATGCATACAATCAAAACTCACAAGACGTTCGTCCAGCATTTTCAGATAAGAAGAAATTGAAAATCCTTTTGCCCCTCAAAAAAAAAACATGTTTAAGATAATTTTAGAATGGCAGCAAAGTCTTCATCTGCTGTTACAGCCCTCAGGATCAACACCTCTAAGTAGTATGGTCTACCATCAAGCAAGAGATGTCATAAAGACCAAGACAAAGCTGTGGAGAAAAAATAAATTAGGTTTGGTTTATAAAAATATCCCAGAACCTGAACATGTCACAGAGCTCCATTAAATCTATTATTAGGAAATAAAAGATGATGCTGCCATAGAAAACCTGCCATAGGAGAGTCATCCACCAAAACTCACAGAATGGGTAAGGAGGGAGTAATTCAGAGAAACATCCAGGAGGCCAAAGATGGCCCTGATGGAGCTGAGAGACAGATCTCTTAATAGGACCACTGGGCCTCATGAAAGAGTGGCAGAAAAAAAAGACATCAGACTTTGAAAAAGGTGCTGTGGTCAGATGAACATCAAGAAAAACACAACTTGGGCAAGARCAGCATCTCTACTTTGAAGCATGGTGGTGTCAGCATCATGCTGTGGGAATGTTCTTCATTTTCAGGAACTGAAAGTTGAACCTGATGGAGCTGGAGACATTTGTTCATGAAGATCAGAGGTTGGACAGACCAAGATAATGGAGATAAAATTGAATTCCATGTTTTAAGGCAACAAAATCAACACCAAAAGAGATGAATATGTTTGCAACTCACTGTTACGGACCTCCCCTCCCTAAATGTCACCTACTCCTCTGAACCCACCCCATCTTACCTCCCCTTTATGTGTTATCTGACCTAAGCCCCGCCCATAAAGTTGACTTGCTGCCTTGCTATGCGAGTGGGGTTTTTTTTGAGTGCATGTTTCTGTGTTTCTGTGTAAAACACAGKATCAGAGCTCTTTTATTTTACTCACCCTTCCTATTGTGTGTATTCCAAACTACAAAAGGTAGCACACTGTATTGCAAAAGACCTTGGACATTTGTTCCCCCGTGTTTATTATGTGTGTCTTTCTCTGAACTGCTGTTCTAAACTGCAAGTTCCTAGTCTGTGTTTATCACTGACAATGGCAATAAAGCTGATTCTGATYCTAAATAACAYAACCTTCCTATGTTTCTTCATAAGCTCAACATCAGCTGAAGGCACACTTCATTTGACTGATTTTTCTTTGTTTTTGATTTTGCAATCCCCACCTCTTTCTGTCTCCCTGTCCACTCAGATGTACCAGACAGGAAGCTAACGTCAGACGAGGAGGAAGCCAAGCGGATTGCAGAAATGGGGAAGCCGGTGCTGGGCGAGCATCCCAGGCTTGAAGTTATCATTGAGGAATCCTATGAGTTTAAGGTAAGAAATGTTGCTTCAGCAACATATCTTCTGTTTCCCAAACTATAGCCTTGGCTTTGGGTTATATAACATTTTACRTTTGCATCTCCCAGTCGCCGAAACAGTTTTCTTCCCAACATCTGGTATGAAGTTTATCATGCTTATGACATTTGTGTTACCTTGAACTGGATGGCACTGCCATCATGTGGTGAAGCTTTTATATTTCTGAAAAAGAGCTCAGTAGATTTCATCAGTGAATGAGTTCTGAACTGGCTTGATTACTCCGTATGTATGTTTACACACAGAGCACTGTGGACAAGCTGATCAAGAAGACCAACCTGGCTCTGGTGGTGGGAACAAACTCCTGGAGAGAGCAGTTTATGGAGGCCATTACAGTCAGTGCAGGTAATATTCCTTCTCCTGTTTACCTGCAGGATGATATAAACTGTATGTGGTCGTRTTTGAGATTATGGGTGTGATMAAATGKATATATTTGTTTTATATCACAGTTTTTTAAGTACAGTGTATGCCTTGAACATTTCCACATTTTGTGTATTTCACTGGGATTTTATGTGATAGAGCAACACAAAGAAGCACAAACCTTTTAGGTAGGAGGAGAATGAATCATGCAAGCCACCCTCCTCCACCTCACTCTGTCCTCTGCATCCTCTGTCCTCACTCAAACCACCAAGTTATGCAGAATAAGGTTTGAGTGCAGACATTACCAATATATTTGGGAATGGTTTCTGTTTTCAAGCAGCCTTCCAGCCACTATTAACTCTTCTTCTTTTGGCGACTTCCATCATTTCCGGTACGGCTACATATTAAAACAACATATTTTATTTTGGATTTAAAAAGCTAAAGCAAAAATCAAACGCTGGATTTTTAATTGAGGCCCTGTCCGACCAGAGTGTTTTAGATAACTTATGAATATCTTTTTCATGACTAAATAACTCATATAGGTTATATGTTTGATTTAATTGTATGTGTACGTCCAAAAGAGGCTTCCAGTTGATTTTTCTTATTCCATCTTCAGCGTAGGCATCTTCAAAGTGTGACACAGCCTTTAGTTCAAGCTTACATTTCAAAGTTGAGGATTCTTAAAATGGAAAAACAATAAAAACAATACAGTTGTTTTCTTTTTGCAATTTTATTTTGAAAYGGAAAAAACAAAGAATGAACCRTACACAGTAATTCATTCTCAGCATAAATCCARATGTTCTGTGAAGATCTTAAAAGTTTGGGACAGAACATTAGTGATGAAACAGCATCATAAAGCAYAAGGAACACACCAGACAAGTCAGAGATAAAGTAGTTGAGAAGTTTAAACCAGATTTAGGTTATAAAGCAAGATCTCGAGCTTTGAGCATCTCATGAAGCTCTCTGCAATTCATCATCTGAAAATTGAAAGAGTTTGGTGCAACAGCAGATCTGCCGAGACGTGGCCGACCATCTAAACTGACTGGCTGGGTAAGGAGAGCATTAATCTTAGAAGCCCCTTAGTAGGTTTATGCTTGACGCGTCGAGGTGGGCGAGAGGGTGCACGCGCAATAGGTGACGCAATATATGACGCGCGTGGCCGTCCCCACCCCTGCGCGTTGGCCCTTTGCTGTGTCCTGTCACGAGGTCGTGCACCTCCGGATTTTTCAAACTCCGCAAGGACTGCGCGCGCCATGGACATTAACAAACAAGATGGACGTGTGCAAGAAGATGTAAAATGTTGGAAGGACCCTCAATTAAAGCTAAAGTTAGCAGGGGAATTAGCATAAAAAAAACTTAGATTTAAACTTAGATCTGTACATTACACTTCTTATGTGTTAATAAAAGGCAAGAGGTGGAAAGTCATTACTTTTATTTCATCWTTCTTGTTTTCATTCCAGCTTGTTATTGGAAAAAAATAAATACTGTCCATATAAATTYTGCTTCCTAGATAGGGTGAATTTGGCAAAGTACTTGTGCTTTTACTCCAATACATGTATACCCAAAAACATTAAAAAGGAATTTTGAAGTCCGTAAAATTCCACTGACAAATTGAGATTAAACACATCCAGATAGGTGGCGGCAGCATCAAATACTTCCAATGCAATGAACGAACACACCATCTCCTTCTGCGTCGTCGTCTCAATAAAAGCAATATATTTGTTGCTCTATTTTATATCACGTTCCTCTAACAACAGTTCTTCTCGTGACCGAGCCATTGGGTTGGGCGATATTGGCAAAAAAAATTAATCACGATTAATTGTGGTGTTTAGCCGATAACGATTAATATGACAATTAATCCCCTGGAGACCCTGGACACCCTTATGTCCTGGTCACAYGACCAATTTAGTGGGAAAGATTTGCTCTTCGTAAAAATCTTTTTCAAACTGTGTCAAAACCACAGACTTCAGGCKMTACWTCAAAYTTTAAATTGTGTTGATARATAAATGACAGAACTTTTGTTTAAATGTTCGTCATATTTGAAGCGGAGAGGAGCACYGAGCGGACTGACCGGGGAAATATCCAGTCAGTCTGCCTGGTGGCATTAATCATATTAATCGTCAAGTGCTAAAAACTAATCGATTAATGTTTTTCTGACGATTAGTTGTAGACGATACGATTATGCCCAACCCTACCGAGCCACCATCGTTTCTATTGTGTGGCRTCAAACATTTCTTCTTCCACACCCTTTTTTCACAACCTAAATGCTGGTTAGATAGTGTACTGCCACCTGTTGGTCATAGAAGAACAGCACTTTGATGCACGTCAACTCATTTGAGAGGCCGCACGGCCGAATGCGCATGTGCGTTCCAAAGCACGACTATAACTCAGCCTTTAATCTGGAGGAGTTGCAGACATCCACAGCTCAGATACRAGCACAGGCCTGTTGATTAAATGTACACAGGATTTGAGAAAATTACTTATTCTATAACACAAGTAAAACAGGTATAATGAATGAAATAAAAAAATAAGGTCATCGTCTCATACTGTATTCCAAGTGAGAGTGTGAGTAGTGTAAAGTTGGAAGGCTTGCACATACGTGTCAAAGTTGTATGAACTGGCTGTAAATTACACAGATTTTCCCTCATTTTGCGTGTACGGGGCATTGTTGGGGATTTTTTTCAAAAACTTACTCTCAAAGTTATTGAAGTCTCAGAGCTGGCAGGCTGTAAGGAAACCATTTCACCATCTCCTCACCTTCCATGGTCGACAGTCAACATGTCCGGTCTTACGGATTTTTTTGTGAAAATTATGGATTTCTACAGAAGAGCATTGCATTCACCAAGGAAACAAAAGGATAGTGTCAAAATTACAAGAAAATAGACGTTATGACCATCAGGGTTAAAAAGGGACCAGGTGTGTGCTCTTTGTGTACATACAGGACGTAATATGACAACAAACAGTTGTTTTGGACACKATCGAGCCAGCCTAGGTGCATTTCAGATGCATAAACTACTTATAGCCATGAAGYATTCTGTATTGGTTTATTGCTCCTGCAGGAAGAGAGCGACTTCCAGCAGGTCAGAGTGGGCTTCACCTAAGCAACCCCAAGGACTTAAGATACCTGTGCAGTGTTGACATACGAATATTAATGTCATCAACATTAAGTAAATTCACTTTTTCCCAGTGTCTCATACATAAGAGGAAATAAAAGTATCAGTGCAGTTATTATTCACTTTTCCTGTAGTCTAGGTCAGCAATGATTATACTTAACTATTCTCACAATTATGAGATCAGGACTCGTTTTTTTTTTCTTTGTTTCTCTCACTGATCTTCCGTAGATTTCTGAGGGTCCAGATACAGGTAAATATCCGAAGGGTTTGACATGTATGCTAGCACCTGGAGTCACAGAGAAAGGTGCTCCAGCGAAGTATTGACTCAAGTCTGCTGAGCACAAATGTACATCWCACTTCTCAGATTTTTCTTAGTAAAAATATTTGAAAACCATGCATCAGTTTCCTTCCACTTCACAGCTATGCACTTCTTTGTGTTGATCTGTCAAAATTCCACTTAAATACGCTGAATGTTGGTATCTGTAACATCACAAACTGTGTAAAGTCCAATGTAAACAGACGCATAAACTGCTTCCACGGTTTCATATTTTCTTTTACTAAGGGTTGTGAAGAAACAAAATATCAGTGTCCACACATTGTTGTGAACAATGACTTCAGCCACCCTAACTAAATTGTTGCCTTTATCCATCAGAAAGTCTTGTCAGCGCTACTCTCAAAGATCCAAATGGTTTAGAATAATCTAATGCACCCAACCACACACCTTGCAGTAGCATCCATTCCTCAGCAGTGCAGTCGCAATCACAGCTTTCATGTACAGAGAGGCCTTGGTTTGTCACTTTGCTGCTGAAATATTTAATCTARTGAGGCGCTTTACTTTTTCATGATCCATCCTTGGCTGAAAATGCAAGTAGTACTCATGGACTGACACTTTGAATCATTGCAGCATCCCTGTCTGTCTCTTTMGTTTGCTGCTGCTGGGACACGTAGGCTGAGAAGCCTCTCAATGCGTCTGCTAAACCTCAGATATTTTCATATCATTTGGTCATTTAATAATACTGTAGCATAAAAAAAACACAACAGTTCTGCACTAGATTTGGATCAAATAAAAATCATGCAAACTTTTCRACAGCTATCATACAAAAATCTTAAATTATCTCTTTATTTTTGTTTCATCGACACATAAAGCAACTGTTTTTGTGATACTGATGCTGACAAGTATTCAAGCTTTCAGTGGACATTTAGAGCTGAAGATGCATAAGGTTAAATCCAGCTGAAGTAAAGAGAATGTGTCATGCTGAAAAATAGGTGAATATACTATTTTAAGTGACTGTTGTTCTCTTTTTTTCCTCTCTCTGYCATCCCCCCACCCCTTTTTTCTGCACATTTTCAACATTTTTCTGGCTCCCTTTTTTCTCTCAACTTTCTGCTTCGTCATGTGTCGTCATTGTTTGGTTGCCATTCTGTTATTTTTGTTTGCTTGCTCACTATACGTATCTTTCTTCCCCTCCTTTCTGTTTTTTTTTTTGTTTCCTCCTTTTCACTTTTCTTTTTTTTATCTTTGTTCAAATATCCCCTTGTGTTTCCAACCACTCTTTATGCTGTCATCCCATTACGTTTGCATTGTTGTCCCCCCTCACCTCCTCTGTTTTACCACCCACTCGGCCACACTTCTGCCCGGGAGATGAGGACGAGGACGACACGGGGGAAGAACGGCTTCCGTCCTGTTTTGACTACGTCATGCACTTCCTCACAGTTTTCTGGAAGGTCCTGTTTGCCTGTGTTCCTCCCACGGACTACTTGAATGGCTGGGCCTGCTTCGCCATCTCCATCATCATCATCGGCGTGCTCACAGCTGTCATCGGTGACCTGGCTTCTCACTTCGGCTGTACCATCGGCCTCAAGGACTCAGTCACTGCTGTGGTTTTTGTTGCCCTTGGCACATCAGTCCCAGGTGAGGCCAGGGTTGCCACCCAAGCAAACATATGAAAAAGCACCAAAAACAAACAAACAAACAAACAAAAAAACACACTAACTTCATCAGTTTTACAGAGATTAATCTAATGTTTGATGGGGTTTCGGATGGAGGACGGTTGGAAACAGGCGTGTATCGTAAGCCCACCCACACAGACCAATAT